TCATTGTGCATTGTGGTCTGCAATTAGCACAAAGCTCATTACGATTACATTATCTTGTAAAACAATTTTAAAGTTACCTCCGGGAAGTACTATAGAGGAAGGAGAGAATTTTAGAATATGAAAATGTAAAAACTTTTAATATATGTGCTCAGCACATACTTGAAATGTTTCATAGTGGTGTAGTATGTATCTACAGCATTTATTTCATTATTTATGTATTTTATTATGCAAAAATACCTTGAAAAACATGAATTCTTACTGTGAACGGTGTCACTACTCCACAGATCTCATCTGTAAATTGTCCTTGGAATAGATATGTTTACTGCCATACTGTGGAACATTCCAGACACATAACATCTCCATGGAGAGAAGGTGGAAGACCCTCCACTAGAAAAGTTTGAAACAGGATATATTGCTAGAGAGATATACTGCGAAAAGATGATATTGAAACTATATTTTTAATAATGTAAGATAATCCCAGTAAACCATTTTTAAATAGACCACATTATTTAAAGAATTAACCAATCATTGGCCAAACTAGTTATTCAACTCTTAACAACTAAAATCTTATTGTATTAAAAAACACCTCAAATCTCTCACACATAGTAGGCATGTAATAATATCCAAATCTCTTGATATGATCTTTCCACAATATCATATGCATCTCACAGTATCATATTTATTGTGATATTTTGTGAAGGCTAACCAAATTATGAACATATTGCTTTTTTGTCATAATCCAAATAATTAAAATTTAACTGTTATTACACCATGCAGATTGGACTGAAACAGAGCAAAGGATCATGGTAATTGTAGTTTTTTTTTCTGTTTAACTGTTACTGCACCATAACCATGATGTGAAGCAAAGGGATGGAGATGACTCATTATTTTTGTGAGACTTTTGATGATACACTACGATACGATATCCCTATTACATAGTGCCCCTTTATGTAAGCTACATACGATATGCTGGATTTATTTCAAATTAATGAATAAATGATGAATCGCATTTCTACCAATTTGATTTTGTCTGTAAGCTAAAGGACCGTGCAGCAAATATTTAAAATGATTGAATAATACTCCAAATTGCAATGTCTGCTATCAACATTTGGGCCATTACTCATCATAGACAACTGCTGGCACGGGCTTGCATTGTGATAAAGGCTACATATTCTTCCAGCCAATCCTCTCGCTGTTTGTTTTATAATTTATTTGTTCATCTCTTTTATCAATAGAGATCATTTCCAATCCCGTTAAAAGTCTATGCCTAAATATGTGCTGATACATGTGTCATATCCTGCCTTCACGATATTTATGACATTAAATTGCTTTCCGTCTTTTTAGTGCAGATGTTGGGAAATATTTCACGTTTATGATCAGATACATAGGGTGGTGGGGGATATGCTTTACGGTGGCTGCAGGATGAATGCGTTGTGGAGATTCATGCCCGGGCCCTGTCTCCGGTTCAGTCCTGTAGATCACGAGGAGGAGAGAGGCAGATTAAAAATGTCAATTCCTCACATCACACTTGGAGCTGTGATATAAAGCTGAGGTACACGAGGGACTAGAACACCTGGTGCAGTCTTAATACAAAACACAACTTTATTTTCTAATAGTTTCAACTGCCACAACTCATGCTTAGAGTGAATAATTGCTCCTTTGAATTGATTACATAGAAAAAATATGAGCTGCTCAGCCACACTTTTACTATCGTGTTGCATTGTTTTAATTTGTTCATTCATTAATTTGGCATACATTTTTCCATATTGTTTTTCTGTGTAAGGTTCTATTCTTATTGTCAGGTTTACACACAATTGAAGTCTAGGCATGGGTGTTTATATCTAATATGGCAATGCAGGCAAAGGCTTGGATCTCTAGGGGTCCCTCAGAGAACAAGTAGTACAGTATAGAGGTAGATTTTCATTGACAGTAATTGAATGTTTGGACTGCAGTATCTAATATGATCAGTAGTCTTTTTTCTAAGGTTGTGATTCACTGTTACGCAATCACAATTCAGTTAGGACTGTTATACAACTCTTTGTAAAACCTTAAAATGTTTTTCAGTCTCCAGTATCTTCAAGGGCTCAAATTACACTTTTTTAATGTTATAATTAGTGCTGTCATGCGATTAAAAAAATTGAGAGATTAATTAATTATGATCTGTAATTAATTAATCTAATTAATCTCTTTTTAATCTCACCTAAAAATTGCTGAGAAAAGCCTTCAATTTGAGGTATTTTCATTTAAATTCATTATTACATTATTGTGGCAGATCAAAAGACTGATATAGATTAAAAAAAGTGACTTTATAAAGTCATTTATTGTTTAACAAATCTCTTCAAATTGGCTGTTGAGCCCAAGTCTCCATGAATAAGAAACTGTTTGCTGTAAAGTAGCAAAGACGAGGAAATCTGAACATAATAACTTTTGTCTACTTAAAGACAATAAAAAGTCCAGTCTTTCCTTAACCATATTAAAAATATTATTGATAGAGAAATGCTTTATATATGAGATCACTGGTTTTAGTCCTTGTTTTAGTCCTGGTTTAGACCTGCTTTAGTCCTAGTTTAGTCCTGGAATGGGTTAATCCTGTTTTAGTCCTGGTGTTAGTTCTGGTGTAGTCCTGGTTTAGACCTGGTTTAGACCTGGTTTTAGTTCTGGTTTTAGTTCTGGTTTAGTCCTGGTTTAGTCCTGCTTTAGTCCTGGTTTAGACCTGGTTTAGACCTGGTTTTAGTTCTGGTTTTAGTCCTGGTTTAGTCCTGGTTTAGTCCTGCTTTAGTCCTGGTTAAGTCCTGTTTTAGACCTGGTTTTAGTTCTGGTTTAGTCCTGGTTTAGTCCTGGTTTAGACCTGGTTTAGTCCTGGTTTAGTCCTGGACTGGATTAGTCCTGGTTTTAGTCTTGGTGTTAGTTCTGGTTTAGAGGCGCACAGGAGGAAGCGCGGTTTATGCAGCGTACGCGAGAAACCACGATTCACACGCGGCGCACGGAAGCACGTCGGTGTCTGCGCAGTGTCTACGGAAGGAAACGTGGTCCGCGCGTTCTCAGGTTGATGACGATGATGAAGGTGTGTGTTTGTGTTTGTGTGTGTTTGTGTTTGGGTGTTTGTGTGCGTGTCCCCTCATGTGGCAGGTCACTATAGGACAGTAGTGCAGACATCATGAGCCTATGCAGGTTGTTTTCACCAGTGACATTTAAGTTGTAGGTGATTTTATATTTGTTATTTTCTTTTATATTTTACGTCGGGAGAATAATTTCCAAGACACGAATGTGTTTTTACCTGTGCACTGCTGCCTCTGTTCTACTGGCTCTTCGACCTTGTCCATTGTGCGACTGATGCCTCGAACGTGAACATGACGTTTACATCACTCTTACTGCGCGCGTTTTGTGTGGGTTTCCGGCAATGAGTGGAATTACCGAAATAAAAAAGTGTATAAATGTGTTTTTGTTTGTGTGTGTGTGTTGTTGTCCAAACAACACATAAAAACAGGTTTTATAATAACGCAACTCACATACAGAAACAGTAAAGTTAGAGATTAAAAATGAGATTAATGCGATTAAAAAACATAACGAGCTAAATATGACTGTAATTAATTAATCGCAATTAACGTGATAATTTGACACCCCTAGTTATAATGTTTCCTCATCAGAAATATACCTGGATTTTGTTTTTGTTTTTTTTAACTCCATACACCTTCACCAGAATCATTTGGATGATTTCAGCCTTGGAATTGCTTTATTATATTGAACAAAAAGTAAAAGTTTGCTGCTCCTGCTGCTTCATGACATCACAAGTGGGAACAGAGTATAAGTAGTTTGAGCTTTGGAGATGAAGACAGACAATAAAGGATTACTCAAACATGTGTGAATGAAACTAAACAACTCCAGGTATGTTTTTTGGGAGGTAACAACATTATAACATATCTTAAAACTCACAATAGTCAATTTTGCGTAATATAGGCCCTTTCAATTTCACATCACAATCTCCATTTAGTTTAGCCACTACTCCACGCGTTAACCTTGAGTGATATGTTGGGCCTTTGACTTGTTTACACACACAGTTTTGTGTATTGAAACCTGGCTAATCAAACCTATAGGTATAACTCAGCGTGAAGTAGGAGTGGACCCTATAGCGCATTATCTACAGCAGTCAGTATACACAATAAAGAGGCTGCGAAGGCTATCCAACACATTCATTTCCACATGTCTCTACCTGTCTGACAAAGAAGACCAAGCTATTTACCTGGGGAAGGGGAAGGGGGACCCAATCGCTGTGAGACATTCTCTGGTTGACAGGGTGGAAGGAGAGAGCGTTTTTTTAGCTCCAGGAGATTTGTGTGTGACACCAGAGCAGCACATGGCCTAATGGGGGCCAGGACAAAATGGAGGGGTCAAAGGGGGACAAGCAGGGGCCTCCAGATGTGTTTGGGGTTAACAGGAAAATAGTGGTGTTCGCACACAGATGCACAAGACAGATGATAAATGAAATCTGCACTATACATACTCTCTAAAATGCATAGGGAAAAAAACTGAAGCTGCACTATGTAACTTTTCTGGTGGAGGATCTTTGAAGGGATGTTATGGTTTTGAGAAGAATGTTCCACAGTATGACATTTAACTTGACAGGACTTGACAACAGAGACAATAAAGTGATGCCACAAAGCTACTTGTTACTGGTCATATCTGTGAAAAGAAGCACATAGTAATGCACAGTAATGTATGCATTTGTTTTTTCAATGTATTTTTAAACCGCTGCAGTTAAAATAATGCACAATGGCAGATAACTTTAATACCTCACTCTGGAACATTCCACACCATAAAACTTACATACTGCACTTTTAAATAGGGAATCTAAAATTACAACCCCATCAGATGTACTATTACGTCTGCTTGCAATTGTTTCTTGTTATTGTTTGTTAGATTGCTATTATAAAATTATACACTACACTGTTTAGAAAATAAAATCTGTAAAAAATGGACAGTGAAGTTTATTAATAAAGTTTATTAAGAACTTCGAAGCACTTTACAGCATTTTACAGATATTCATGGGTTTTAGCTCAAATTTAGCAGCAATTTGAAGAGTTTTTCCAAATCAAAACACATAGCATTTGGCTTTAAATTGTTAACTCTTATAACAACTGTCCTGAATTGTCATCTTTCTGAAACTCATGGATATATAAGTATAATTATTATAATTACTATACTGAACACCAAATAAAAATGTGAATTATAGCAAAAAAGCTGTGAAGAATAGGATTATTTACAGAATTTACAACTTGCAACTTGCGTAATGTCAGTGTTTGTGTCCAAGCACTTATTGGTCCCAATAGGTAGTTGATCTTGTATTTATCTATCACTCAGTGTAAAGTGGTTGTCTTCACATTGTCACGGAGGTGTTCCTAGATCTGAGGCTTCCAGTGCTGTTGACAGAGCCCTTCCTGTAAGCCTGGTGGATCCTTTTGCTAATGACCCCGTGTTTGTACAGTGCAGACAGAAGCTGGTTTCGAAACTTCTCCCCGATGAAGGCATACAGGATCGGATTTATCATGCAGTGTGCAAAGGCAAACACTTGTGTCACGTTTAGCATCTTTTCTACCATGTACTGTGTCTCACAGGTCTCCACAGGCAAGGACCCTCCCCGAATCAAGGTGTCAATCAAAACAGACACATTGAAAGGCAACCAGCAAAGGATAAATGCCAAAACTACAGCTAGGATAACTCGCATGGCTTTGTGCTTTTTCTGGTTGCGGGAATGTAATAGTTTAACGATAGTGCAGCCATAGCATACAGACATGATAACAAATGGGATGAAAAACCCCATCGTATGTCTCAAAACATGTACAGTAACACGCCAGTGTGACATACTTTCACCAGTGAAATTTTCAAAGCAGATATATCCAATTTCGTTGTCCATGAACATGCTTTGTCTTTGTATGGCAAAAGGTAGGGCTAGCATTACAGCAATTACCCACACAACTCCACAAATGACTTTGACTGCAACATTATGAGAAGAAAGGCTACGTTTAGCCCGTACTATAGCAAAGTAACGGTCAATGCTAATGCAAACTAACAGGAAGACTCCAGAGTACACAGAAGCTTCTTGGAAACCGGAAAGGATTTTGCAAAGGACGTTTCCAAAAACCCAACCAGAGTGTATGTACACCGCCCAGAAGGGAAGAGTCAGGCAAAACAAAAGGTCAGCTATTGCCAGATGCATTAAGTAGATGTCCGTGCTTGCCCTGACTTTCTTCATGCAGGAGACCACAAAAACAACAAGGCTGTTTCCTAGGAAACTAAAAATGAAGACAACAATGTAAGTGAGCTTGATGCCCAGTGTTCTGAATCCAGGAGGGTTGAAATCGCACAGAGCTGCCTTGCCCTCCCCAGTCCACATGGTGTCTGTAAAGGTGAAGCCATCAAAGGAGAAACCAGTAGCATCCTGGATAAACAAGGGAATCTGAATCAATATCATCAATAAAAAGACCACAGTGCTCGTAGTGGAACCCATATATGGCATATTATTTCAATCTTAAGTCAGAAGCATCATATATTTTCAATTTCAGCACATTATTACTGTTAAGAGATGGTATGCACCTGCATGATTCCATGGAAAATGAAAGTTAAAACCATTTTCGGAACATTTTCCATGGATAAGTTTTGTGCCCGTACAGTTGAAGACAAAGGAAGAACATTTCCATGGAAACAAGCAGGAGAAGGTTCTACACCAGGCCAAATAAGACCCAGGTTTGTGGAGATGCATGCCCACTCACACTAATGGTGCATGTACTGTGCATATTTTGTGCAATAAAATTTTAAATTTCTTAATGGAAAAAATTATTATTATTATTATTATTTTTTGTCTTAAAAGTTACATAGTGTGGCAACAGTGTGGTAACAGTCTATTACTGAAGCTGAAGTGAAGTGCCTTTATAATAACATTATGGATTATAATATATTTCCTATAGAATAAATGCATATTTAAATAATTATCTTACCTCATATTCTTCAGAAAGAGCCAGACTCAAAAAAGTCAAAAATATAAACGTCTTCATGTTTTTGTTGTCTGTTCTCTGCACAGTGCACACTTGGTGTTGAAATGTTCTTCTAAGATAAAAGGAAGTGCAGATGTTATCAGTTATTTTAGTCACAACCTTTGCATGTTAATTCACACCTCTAACCATCTTCTCTTGAAAATGCTGCCTCAAGTCATTGTTTTTTACAGTGTTAAGGGTAAGCATCACTGCAACTAGACTTCTTACTAAGTAATTGTGGATGTGTTTTGGTCATCCATGCTATCACTTCTGCATTTGTCTACACTTTCAGGTTTTTTGGTGTCTTTAAACTTTTCATGTGACATTCTAAAGTATTTATATGACTCTGTAAATTTCTTCTTGGTGTCCAAATTACAACCATAAACTGCAATATGACATTATCACTAGTCCTAAAGCCATAATATGTAACTTTTTGGGGTTTTTTTGCATCGAGAAACATAGAAAAACATGTGTCCACAAACTTGACATTCATTTGGAAAAGTAAACAAGCATTTTCCATGGAGAATAGCATGGTTATAACTTGTCTGCAACATTAAGAGAATCTGTGCTCAAGATAAGATACGATAAGATAAGATATGCCTTTATTAGTCTCACAGTGGGGAAATTCCAGTGTTGCAAGAAGCATAAGATCAGTGACAATTTAGCCCTATTGTTTGAACAAATCAGCCAGACATGATGATTAGCTATTAGTTAGTTTTTCTTTTATTATTAGTTAGTTAGTTCACATATTCACATTGTTGTTGTATTTCCAAAACAAACTAATAAGACACCACTTTATAATATCCTCTTACTGATAAGGGTCATATTTATAATTTATGCCCTTACATTTTTTAACAAAACAAGTCTTAACTATATATTGTATGAGCGTCTTTTTAAAGGTTTCTAAAATAATATAAAACATTTAAACGTATAAACCTCTAAAGCAGAGCCAATGTCACCACTGCCTCACACTTCTAATTGACAAACTCAGGGGTGATTATTTACTGGCTTCTCATATTGGCAGTTTTAGAAATAATATTGAACAAGCTTACTCAAATCAGATGTATTCAAACTCTAGTAGTCCAGTAGATAATGGTAAATAGTCATTTGCTAAAGCTGTGTTTGCACAGTATAATGGGGATTATGGATTGTGCTCTCATTATAGCTGGGCTTTGCATTCTGCCTCTTAGGAAGCAGCACATTCTATATTATATTGGTGTGTGCAGGCATGTCCAACTTAGCTTTTAATAGAGCATTAAAATAAACAAATGAAAAACCATCTATAATAACATATTTCCTTCTTATGCGTTCTAGTTCTAGCCTCTATCACCGCTTGCATTTCCATTATGAAAGCTGCACAGCCATAGTGTTAAAATTGTTGTGGAAACTCATTTGGTAGCAGAATCAATATTGGTAAAGCATGTTTTAAAGTTGCACCGTGCAGTGCAGAAGTCATTAAATCAAGTCGGGGGTTGTAAAGACAAGATCTGCCTTAGTTTAAATATGTAAAATAATTATAATACAAACTGTAACCTTCATTCTGACCCTTTTTGAAGCACTGAACGACTCACAAGCTCTAATTAACACTGGCCTCTGACAGGGAGAGACAGAACTATTCCACCAGAATGAAGTAAAACATAGGCTGAGGTTCATCAGTTCAATCCTTACCCCGCACCCCATGTCTCTCGCTCTCTCTCTCTATCCCCATATCTCATTCTATCTATCTCTCTTCATTTATGTTTCTCTGTTTCTCTCTCTCTCTCTCTCTATGTATATTATTAATAATTACAGTATTTTCTTGGTGAAGAGGTGGTGAAGAGACAGTGAACCATATCACCTCGTAGCAAGATGGTGCCAGGTTTGTTTCTCCCAGGGGCAATAGATGACTTTCATAAGTACACTTTCATATACATACTGTACAACTTAAAACATATATAATGCCAGAACTATACAAAATCACTTTATTTTACTCATTTTAATCACAATTTTTATCTGAGTTTATTATTTATTATTAAAGGTCCTATATTATGCAAAATGGACTCTTTTAGCTATGTTAGAATGGTGTTACCTCCTCAAAAAGTTGTGTTTTATTTCATTCACACATGTTTGCGTAACCCTTTAGTATTAATCTGTCTACATCTCCAAAGCTGAAAATGCTTTGTTCCACCTCACCTTGTGATGTCATGAAATTAACAGCTACCTTTTACCTTTAGTTCAGTAGAGACGGGGAATTCCAGGACTGAAATTATCCAAATGATTCTAGTGAAGGTGCATGGAGTTTACAACCACAGTAGAGCACTTCACGTATTATCACATGACATCACGAGGTGTGTTTTCAGCTTGTGAGAAAAATTAAGCTTAAATATGCTGGGTTTGTGTGAATGAAACAAAACACAACACCAAATATAGTATGTTTTTGATGAGGAAACAACATTATAACACATATCTGAAAACAGTGTTATAAAGCCCCTTTAAGACTAACTAAAGTGTCATTATTATGAAGCATTACCAATAATCCTTACCCAGCTGCAGTCTACCTAAAATGCCATAGTTTCTTTCTCTCTGAGGTTAGGTCCCTTAAATGCTTGGAGCCTGTTTCTACATTGAATATTTGCCTGTGTATTAGCGGTCATTTGTCTGACTGGCAGCTCCAAGTGAGCACTTAAGTGTATGCAGAAAGTGGGCCAGGGCAAACAGCTTTGGCCTGCTGATGATTTCACTGTTTATGGCATTCTCATAGAGGGAGAAAGTGCTGTTATTTAACACCAGCCAAGAAAGAAAAAGCCTCCAATGAGCAGTTATAGCAGTAATACTCTGGCTTGCCTTCACACCACATTGTTACCAAGTCTGCAATGAATTTGTTTTAGTTTGTTTTTTAATTAACTGCATATGAAATTTAACTACATCAAACACCGTATTCAAACTACTTCAGCTCATGACTTTGCACCAGATGCCCTTCCTGGCACATTACCATATTAATTATATTAAAATCCACTTTTACCTGATTATCATAAACTCTATAAAAAGCACACAAATTTTTTTTTTGGTCATAATGTATAAGGGAAGTAACAATAAACCAGATGTTAATGTTAACTAAAAAATGTTAATTTATTAATTGACAGGAAATAAATTAAAAAGTAATAAACAGTCCAAGCTTAACTAAATTGGACTCTAATTACAACTAGCTAATTACAAACAATTTTTTTAATTATACTATGTTTGTAATAATTACAGTACCCAGTGTCTCAATGAAAAATTATGCAAAAGTCAACCCAGGTACTGAAAGTAACAAACGAAAGAGACACAACAAAATGGGTTAGCTGACAACAAAATGATCCCAGGCTGTTTTAATGAACATGCTTCATCAGGGGGAACTTGTATTTAAATCTTGGAAAATATGTTAGTTTTGCCTTTCCTGTTTCAATGTCCAGTCAGTTATGACTACCATTGCTCTTACTAGTAGTGGTTTCTTTAAATACTTTTCTATTCTTACTTAATTTCCTGATATACTACTTTGTACTTCACGTAATATTAATTTGAAGTACTAGTTCTCTAAATTGATTGCATGTTTTGGCTATTACTGTGAATATTCTTGTTATTATTTATTTATTTATTTTCTAGGGACAGTGCATATTAATGAACATCTGTAATTATGCCAGATCATAGCAAAAAATGCTCCATCTGTTCCATTTGTTTTCATCTGTTGTCACTAGGCAGGTGATAATACAAAATACAAAACGGTTACAAAGAGACAACACAGAACAGTAAAAGACCAGATCAAATGTGTTCACAGATTTGGTTATCCTTTGTTTTCAGCTTGAGATGCAGTTTGAAATGAGACTACACTGTACATATACTTTGAAACTACTGTAGCTACAGATGGCACATTAATCCTATTGAAATGAATCAGTTAATGCAGTCAGTGCACTACTGCTTTTACTTCACATTAGCGCTGCCACCATGGTCATGTGTTAGCTGCGTCTTTCTGATGACAATTATATGTATAAAAGTACTTGAGAGAACTTGTGAAGGCAAAAACCGAAAATGTAAAGTCAGCACAGACTTTCCAACTGGTTTTTAGTGTGGTACCATCTTGGCAACTTCTTTATACAGAAATCCTTGATGTCTCAGTTTTATGCCTTCACCTGGGACTGAAACCATTTTAGTGCTGGAATGTCAACTCCTCTGCCAAAAGAGTGGTTTTATGTCTACCCAATGCCCCAACCTGTCTCTTGCCTATTGAGAAAATGCCTCTAAATTGTATACTTATAAATCGTAATTTCAAGTACAGCAAAGTACTGTATAACTATGAAAAACATCTACACTACCAGTCAAAAGTTTGGATTCACATTCTCATTCAATGTCTTTTTCTATGTGTTTATTACTTTCTACATTTTATATACATACAGAAGGCATCAAATACTGTATATGAAGTAAGATGGATAGAATTATATAGCAAAGAAAATTCAAGTTAAATACCTCAACTATATTTAAAACATATATTTTAATGTTTAAACTGCACCAGTCAAAAGTTTGGATACCACTTTTCTTATTACTTTCTACATTTTAGATACACACAGAAGACATCAAATATGAAGAAAGATATATAGTATTAGTTAAATAAATCTACTGAATATTTTGGAAAATATGGTTTGATGATTTGGTTATCATTTTATTTAACTTCCCCAACTTCCTTCATATATTTGATGTCTTCTATATGTATATCAAATTCAAATGTAGAAAGTAGTAAACATATAGAAAAAATATAGAATGAGAGGGTGAGTCCAAACTTTTGACTGGTGCCATAGATTAGCCCCTGTTGGATCCAGTTGTGCTGACATAAACCTTGGTCTGTGGCCTGTCTCCATGTCCTTATAAAGTGAAATGAAATATCAAACATACTGTGACATTTCTCACATCTTTGGGCCTGTGTGCACTTTGAAGGCACATCAGAAGCACGAAGACATCCAATTTGTGCGTCAGTAAATACCGGATATCAAATCATCTTGTTATTGTCACAACCCGCTAAACAGGCTCTTTTTAAGATTTATCTACTAAATAT